ATAGGTGGAAATTAGCGGGATTTTAACAACTCTGAGCTATTAGTTAAGTTCTCCCCAAGCGAGCTCGATGGGCCGAATGGCCTCCTCTCATTTGTATAGTTCTTATGTTCTTATGAGAGTGTCACCACCGTTTAATTAGGCGCCTTGGTTGGGGCAAGGGCAGTCACTAAGGCTGTAAAGGGTCCTTCATCTGACCTGAGATGACTACCTACTAAATGCAAGGGGGTGGGGGGGGGGGGGTTGCTGGGCACGTGTCAGCCAAGGATGGTGCGCCCCCAGAGGGGGGCAGGGGGGAGACAGAGCCCAGCAGCACTGCTGAAATGTCACTAGTCACAGTATGGCAGGACAGCAAGGCGTCGGGGCTGGGAACCCGAGTCTCACCCCTCCTCCTGCCCGGCCCCCTGCTTCAGCGGCCTCTGGGGGGCGCCCTCCTGTCACCAAACGCTCAGCTCCAGGGTAAGGAAGCGGGTTTGTTACAGAAGGGTCGTCGGCTTGAGTCCTGCAAGGGGCTTCGATGAGGAGCATCAAAGGAGGACACTACACACAAAATCTCCTGCCTTGCACCCCCCTGCCCCCACCCCAGGTCCCGCCCAGCCGATGCCACTGAGGTGAGAATTCCAACAACGGTCGTCACCGACTATTTCTGCAGATAGGCTGGCTGTGGCTGCACCCAGCCCTTCCTTCAGCCTTCTGGGAAGGGGGGCACCTAATGTAGGAGTCAGCTAATCCATACAGGGATGGTACCAGTAAACAGACCTGGGGGGGTTAGGGGTAAATGGTTTTGTTTTGTGGCTTAATTGGAGGCACCTTAAAACAACACAGCAGACAGATGTACAACAATTAAAAATAAAAATAATAAAAATGCCTGGGAGGGGGGCTGGTCACAATATTGACAATACCGAGCTGATAGCAAGCATGTGAGTGTGGTTAGTCACGATTCTGGGGGGCAGCAGAGTGAGAGAATGCATGTACAACACGGTCAGCACCCCCCACTGGCAAATCCTCAGCAGCCTGCTGGAATCCTGGTTGCTATGGGAGTACGGCGTGTTGACAATAAAACGGGGAGTTCACCTCTGCGGGGGGAGGGGGGCATCTCAGAGTGACACGGGAAACGCTGAGACTGGCCGATGGGGGGTGGGGCTCGTGCTTCCTTAAAGACCTTAGCTGCTTACATTACATCCATGGCTGGTGGCTCAGAAACAGAATGTAAACGCTGCGGTTTGTTCTGAGGGACATAATGATGGGGGGCGATGCTCAGCAGGTTTGGACACTGTCTGTGATTGGAAGGGCACTGGTTCAAATCCCTGGATTTGGCTGTGATTTCACTTAGAGCAAAGGCCCCCAACCCACACATGCTCTGGGGCTGTCTGGCCCTGCTTACTCAAAAATGTGTGCAGTGACTGAACAGTATGGAATGCAGGTTAAAAGTAGATGACAGCACACACATAAATACCCACCTGAGGGTTTCCCCAGATGGCAGTGACCATGCCCTTGCCCCCTAGCCACCCACGGCCCAGGTCCCACTCGTGCCCTGTCTCGGTCCGGCCCAACGCAGGTTCCGCTTAGGGGTCATTTCGGCAGGATTCCCATCGGATCTGGGTCAGCGCTGTTTGCAAGCCGATCAGCTGCTCTTACGTTTCCCGGCTCTCGGGCCTGACAGACGAGCTGGTTCTTACACCTCCCTCCCTCTCTGTCTGTCTGTCTCCCTCCCTCCCTCTCTGTCTCCCTCCCTCCCTCTCTGTCTGTCTGTCTCCCTCTCTGTCTGTCTGTCTCCCTCTCTGTCTGTCTGTCTGTCTGTCTCCCTCTCTGTCTGTCTGTCTCCCTCTCTGTCTGTCTGTCTG